GCATGGCAGATACATATGTCCCTCTAGGGCGTGATAGGTGTCAAAATAAATATTTACAGAATGAAAATTTTTAAATGACCCTAATGATTTGAGCAATCGGTTTCCAAGCACTAGCATAGGAGGCAAAGAGAGCTTTATTGTTTTGTTTTTACCTCTTTCATCAGCCTCAGCGTGGCTGGACTAGGCTCATTTCCCAAGTGATTAATGATGTTCACTTTCTGTGTGTGAAGCAGAGCAATTCAGAACGATGATGGGAGGAAATAATTTAATTTCTGCATCCTAATTCCAGTAGCAGCTGTTTTCTGCTAACTGAAAAAATATGCCTGCACTAACAGCTTTACACTTTCAGCAAAAACACTGTACCAGGACACACACTAAGCTGTCCAAGGACAAATGCGTGATTGTTTTCTTTCGGGAGATGCAGGGAAATTCGTCAGAATTGACTCATTCTCTCTCTGCATGCATCCTACTTACACTTCTGGTGACTTCCCCGGCCAAATGGCCAGCTTCTATTTTGGATACAGAGCATTATATCAAAGGGATAATGTCTTCGTTACTTCTGTTCTTGAACTGTACCTAGAGGTTCCCTAGTAAACATTTTCAAAAATCAGAAACTTGAATGAGTTCAAGTTTTTGTGTAAAATTGACACATGTGCATGTTAATTTTAGTAAAACAATTTACAAAACAGTATGTACAAATTGACCCAACAAATGTTAAAAATAAAAAAAAAAAAAAGCAGGCATCTCTTACACAACTTGTTAAAATTAAGATATTAACAATGACTATCACTGGGTGTGAAATTGGGATTAACAAATGTTTCATTTTGTCAGTGAATACACATTATGTTAATAAAAAGTAAAATCTGGAAAAGAAAAATACTTTTAAGGGAACATTGCCATAAATTCTTCATTTTTGAAAGGTGCCATCACTATTTGCAGAAGCTCTGAGGGTTTTTGAAAGAGCTGCTGCCCCAGAGTACCTCCAGGAACATTGTACCTTCCCTCCACTCGCCATCCCGGGACTGGGCTGAGTAATTCCCACACTATCTGCATGTTGGTCCTGGTGTCATCTATTTAAAATCTCCCATTTCAGCTGTATCTTGTGTTCCCTTGCCCCAAGTACCAAAGAGCTGTAACTCAGACTCACTATTGCTCACGTGTCTTACAGCTGCTGCATCTTCCACCCCCCTGAAATGCAGGTCTCATTGCTCACCCCCGACTCACTTCTCTCAGTTGATTGCCAGAGCACCTGGCCCAGGAACCAAAACTCCTGGGCACCTGGGGAGTGAACCAGTGGATGGAAGACACCCCCTAACCGCCGCCACAGCCACAGGCTCTCTATAACTCTCTGCCTTTCACTTTTCAAGTAAATAAGTAAATCTTAGGAAAAAGGAAAAAAGAAAGAGGCCGGGACCTCATGGGGAAGATGGGCAGGGGTGTGGGGGTCTCAGGCAGGGGCCGTGCCTCCTCCACAGCAGAGGCTGAAGTCAGGGAAGCCATCCAGTGGTTCCTCGGAGGTTGTAGCACATATTAGGGTTTTGATTCTGAACAGATAAGACATCATCAACAGCAAGGACTTCAAAAATAAACATTTTCCTGGATTTTTCTCTGCTTCCCTCCACCCCCACCTTAAAATTATTTTTCCTCTCCTGTACTTTCAAAAGCCGTTTGAAAGCATTTCCTAAAGTCTTCCACTGTGATGTAGCCCAGGGTGAGTCAATTAGTTGTGCTTTGATTTTAGTCTGCTGAAACCGCAGCAAAGATTATGCTTTCTTTAATCAATATACCTATAAATTAGTACTAAATGTCAAGAAAGTACTTTGAAATCTTGGAAAGGTACACAAACATCAGGAGTGACAGTTAGTACCCTACTGATTCCCTTTGCTTCCTCTGACTTAGGCTGAATGTGGCTCTCCCCTTCCTGATACTGCTGGGCTCAGCACCGGGAGTACCAGTGCTCAGTCACAGTCCATGCATGCTTTGCTCCCCAGGGCCACAGTTGGTGTGATCAGTCATCTGTCAGATGCCTCAGTGGCAGCCGAGTTTGGGGAAGAGCACTCAAGATGTTGGTGTGTCTGATGAGGTTCATGCTAATGCCACTTTCAGGGAGGTGTGACAAACTCCTAAGGGAGTAAACATCATGTGTCACTACCACTGAGGTTGTGAGTCAATCATGGCATTACCTAAAGTATATCAAAACCGTATGGTCAGAGAGTCCTGCCCGTGGCTCACTTGACTAATCTCCGCCTGTGGTGCCAGAATCCCATATGGGCGCTGGGTTCTAGTCCCGGTTGCCCCTCTTCCAGTCCAGCTCTCTGCTGTGGCCCGGGAAACCGGTGGAGGATGGCCCAAGGGCTTGGGCCCCTGCACCTGCATGGGAGACCAGGAAGAAGCACCTGTCTCCTGGCTTCAGATCGGCATTACTCTGGCCGGGGCGGCCATTTGGGGGGTGAACCAACGGAAGGAAGACCTTTCTCTCTGTCTCTCTCTCTCTCTCACTGTCTAATTCTAAAATAAGAAAAAAAAAATTAAAAAAAAGAAAAGAAAACTGCATGATCAGAAACTTTCCAGCAAAATCCTTACTCAGCTTAGAAGTGAGGTGAGTGGTGGTTGTTATGAATTAAGCTTTTTCCTTTATTAAGATTTTTGTTTCTTTTACTTGGTTTGTATCTGTTGGTAAGATTATTCAGAAACACCAAAGACACCTAGACTTGGAAGAAAAAGCATTGACTTAGCCCTCTTCCACATTCAAATGTGAAAAGTATCTAACAATTTATAAATTTTTTTGGAATCAGAAAGTTCTGTGCTTAAGAAACCTGAAACCTTTTATTATAGAAAATCAGCTTCTACTAGGGAAGTCCTTCTCTCTGTCTGCCCCAAATCTTGTTCAATTGGAGTACGTTTCTTTTTGTCTCCAAATGGAAAGCAGCTGCCTAACCTTTCCGATAACAACCTCTGTGTTCTTGAAGATAGTTATTAAGTCACTCCCTGGCCTTCTTTCCTCTGGACTAAGTATGCCTGTAACCCATCTTCAGAGTTTCCATTATCCACCCCTTTAATCATCTTTTGATCTCCCTAAGCTTTTCTGCATCTTCTTTAAATGAGAGTTTCAAATTGAAACATAATATTTTAACAAGAGTCACCATTAACTGGGGCCTCTGCTTTTAGGTGATCATTGTCATTCATAGGGGAAATCCGGTGATCATATCAGCATTGAAATGGATGAGATGTAAGACTAGTTCCTTTTGCACATAGACCCACAAACTCCTGCATGCCCTCTGGTGACCAGTTCTGTTGTGTAGGAATCCTTTCCCATACTTCCTCTTAGGCAAAACTCTCCTAAAGTTTACTTCTAGTCCCATTTTAAATAAAAAATACATGCAGTGAACACAGAATCCCTTGGGTCTCTCACTTGCTCCCCTGAGATAGTGTGCTTGGAGCAGTTAGATACAAAATGGCGGGCATTGTCTCCTGTCTAATCTCTTGAAAGCACAGAAGGAGGAAGGCCTCAAGTACAATGTGAGAGAGAGCACAGGAAGGGAGACGGAAGTGGACTGTGCCACGCCCATTATCTAGAAGAGGAGATGCAGCGTGTCATTGAGGTTGTCTTGACCTTGCACCATCTCTGTTGTTGGGGCCGTGATCGGCTCATTGGTGTGACCTCTACCCATCTCTCCTCCCTAAGGACTGAAATTCCTCCCATGGCAGTGTGCCTGGGAGGGGGATTTTCGGAGTCATAACCACCAGTTGAGGCAGCACACGGATCTGACTCAGGAATCCTATGGTGTTGGAGCAAAGCCCAGCCCAGACACTCAGGCTTTTTTTCACTCTTTGGAGTGAGATACAGATTTGAAATGGAAACATAATGCTCTAATGAGAATCACCGTTAACAGAGCCACTGCCTTTTCATGTGGTCATATATCCCGAAGTAAGCCAGGACCCTGGCGTCAGCCAGTGGCCAGCATGTGACCTTAAACTAGTACGGGCAGGAAGGCTGCAAAGTTTTGACCAGGACTGTGTGGTGAGACTTTGTAGTTAGTGTGTAGATACAAAAGAGGCCAAATGTTTTCTACAGTGTGGCCAGCAAATGTATCAGGAAGCGATGGAAATCCTGCAGATACGAGGGCAGTTGTCCTCATGCTTTCCAGAGAAGTAAATTTGGTGTCGCAACCAAAATGTGTGGATATCTGAGGCATTCGATTTAGGATAATTGATTCCTGGGGTCATTTTGAATTAATTAATGAAATATGGCTCAACTATGTTTCATAGTAGGGTACAGTATTGAAAGTGTTGCCGAGGTCGACATGGTGTAGTGGGTAAAGCTGCCGCATGTGACACCAGCATCCCATATGGGTGCTGATTTGTGTCCCAGCTGGCCTACTTCCAGTCTGGCTCTCTGCTAATGTCCTGGGAAAAGCAATGGAAAATGGCTCAAGTGTGTGGGCCCCTGTCACCCTCGTGGGAGATCTGGAAGAAGCTTCTGGCTCCAGCCTGACGCAGTCCTGGCTGTTGCAGCCATCTGGGGAGTCAATCAGCAGATGGAAGATTATTTTCTATATAACTGTGACTTTCAAAATAAATAATAAACAAATCTTTAAACCAAGAGACAAACAGAAAGGAAGTGTTGCCATCTATCTGTGCTTGGATATGTGTAGGTTCCAGAAAAGTAAATAGCCATGGACCATGGACAGTCTTTTGTAGATTACTCCATCTGATTAGTCACCAGGATATCATTGCATAGTGAAGACATCTACAAAGACATCTAAAGTATTTTTGCTGTTTAAATGAGATTCAGAATTCTTTATTTATTTGGAAAGTAGAGATTGAGAGAAACAAACAAGAGGTCTTCTCTCTGCTCATTAGCTCCTCAGTGCCCACAACGGCTGGGGCTAAGCTAGGCTGAACTCAGTTGGGGTCTCCCACGTGGGTGGGCTACAAGATGCTGAACCTGAGGCCAGAAGGTTGCTCTGCACATAACTTCTCCGTTTTCTATTTTCCAGTCCAACAGGCAACCGGCTAAGGTGAACCTTCTCACCTGCCAAGTGAAACCAAATGCTGAGGACAAGAAGTCTTTTGACCTGATATCACGTGAGTCCTTTTTCTCTGAGCCACTTCCTGTGGATGTCAACACCTGCACATTTCCAGTGTTTGGGTTTTAAAGCAAAGAGACACAGGAGCGGTTTCCTGTTATCCCTGCACATGGAGCTCTAGGAAGAGCCCTAAGATTTCTTCAGGTTGTGCTGGGTGCACCTGCAGATGGGAAGGCTTCGCAGTGGCAGATCTGACGGGGGTGGAATCTAGAGTGGTACATCAAACAAGACTAACGCTGGACTGGGGCTACACAGCTCTGTCCCCTGGGGGAGATGTTTCTAAATGCATTCCCGTTGCACTCTTAGATCTGCAGAACTGTGGTCTTAGGTGTGAGGCCCAAGCATGGGTGTTCTCTAAGTCCTTAGGTGACTCTAATGTGCACCTGTGGTTAAGAAGCACTGATACAGACTTGGAAATGCAGGTGTGCCACTGTGTCTGTCCAGCTAATTTGTCCCGAGTACTATAACCGTGCAACGTCTAAGTCTTAAAAAGAAAAATCATGTCCTTGCTTCTAGGCAGAACTGTCTTCTAACCTCGTGAATTCATGGCATTGCATCCCTGTCACCCTTACTCCATGGTTCACAGTTTGCTCTTCTCTTGTGACAAGAGCAAATGATGTGCCACCCATCCCCCAACCCACCACCAGTGTTCTCCTCCGTGTAGAGCTGGTTCCTGCGGATGCACCGACTGGCCCACCCTGCAGGGTGTGACACCCACTTACAAAGGAAGAGTATGGTGGTACCAACGAAGTGACTCCCAGCCATTATAAATTCTGCCACACTAACCTGTGTCTTCCTTCTCTGTCAGAACCCAGCAAAGGCAGGCCAGCAGCCAAAGGGCATGATGCGTGTGCAGAAGCACACAGATCCTGTCTACCCTGGAAAGTCTTTTGTTGCAGTTATGTGCGTGGAAGTTCAAAAGCTGCCCTGACCCAAAAGACTGAGTCAGTCTGAGGCCCTTCAGATGGGAGTGTTAACTGGCTTCCGCCGCATCTGTGTGAAGTCTCCAGTCTCTGGTTTTCATGACTGGGAGATTTTGGGGGGGTGGGAGGGGTTGTTGATAACAAAGAAATAGGAAGAGTTAGCATTATGGAGTCAGGCATCTAATGACAGGAATGTATTCAGAGAAGCACATCAGTAAGTGATTTTGTGTTTATTCCAACATCAGAGTGTACTTACATGAACAAAGATGGCTCTTTTGTCACTAGGCAGTATGATGTTTGGGGACCACTGTTGTATAGGTAGCCTGTTGTCAACTGAAATGTTATTTTGCAACACATGACTATTGCAATATGACTTCAGAAGACCAGGAACCCCCCCAGATCTTTTTTTTTTTTTTTTTTTTTTGACAGGCAGAGTGGACAGTGAGAGAGAGACAGAGAAAAAGGTCTTCCTTTTTTCCGTTGGTTCACCCCGCAATGGCCACTGCGGCCGGTGCACCGCACTGATCTGAAGCTGGGAACCAGGTGCTTCTCCTGGTCTCCCATGTGGGTACAGGGCCCATGCACTTGGGCCATCCTCCACTGCACTCCCAGGCCACAGCAGAGAGCTGGACTGGAAGAGGAGAAACTGGGACAGAATCCAGTGCCCTGACCGGGACTAAAACCCGGTGTGCCGGCACCACAGGTGGAGGATTAGCCTATTGAGCTGTGGCACGGGCCAACCCCCTAGATCTGAGTACCTTTAAGTCATTAATAATGGTTGCCAGCATTGAACATCTAATATGTGCCAAGTGCTTTATATATATTCCTGCTAATGCTCACAAAACTCCTTATAACTTTCCCATGAAAACTGAGGCTCAGAGATGTCCCGTGACTTGATTCAAGGTCACACAGCAATAAAGCAGAAATTCAACCATGGCTCTTGGGCCCCACTGCCCAGTGACATGTTCTCTGTCATTCATGCTGTCCCTCTCAGGGAGGCTCAGGGTGTGAGTGCCTAACGTGGAGTGCTCACAGAGGAAGTGCTTGTTGAATGACAATGCTTCCCCTCTGTATACCTGCCCACAGTATCTTAAGTTAGGCTACTCCTTCCCTCACCTGGACAAGAGGGTTGAGTCTTTGTTCCCCGCAGCTTGCTCCAGCCAGAGAACAGCCTGCCTCTGTGGACAGAGTGTACCTGTGTATCAGGGCTGCCCTGGAGTGAGCAGCGGACAGCAAACGAATCACTTTTGAAAAGGAAATTGTTTTTTAAAGGAAACACACAGTTACAGTCAAGTCAAAAAGGAAAATAGTGAAATGGCAGCTGGCAGTCTTCAGTGTCCCTAAAGTCCACTTGGATCACTCAGGACCTCTCCCTCATCTTGCTGTATTTCCTTTTCCGTAAGAGGTGCTGGAAGTGTGCATGGTGTTTATAATTGTTTAATTGTTGATTTTACCTAAGAAAAATAACTGCCAAAGTAAGCTGTACGGCTGCCAAAACATGCACTAAAATCGTGAAAATCCTACTTTTATTGTCGATGTTTTTGTTGTGGGGGCTTTAAAAATCTGCACTATAACTATAAAGATGCTCTGCTTTCTAAGTTTTCACTTTTTTTTTCTTTCTTGTGTTTTAGATAATAGAACGTATCACTTTCAGGCAGAAGATGAACAGGATTATGTAGCGTAAGTAGTCCTGAAATAACAGCATAACACCCAAAGCCTCTCGCTCCTGTACAGAATGCCTTCAAGCTCTCTCTTCACCAGTAAGCAGCATGCCCGAGGGCTCCCCACACTTTGCTGTGGCCTTTGGCACATTCTCTTCCCTCTGTCTGGGATGCTCGGTCGAGCCTTGCTACCCCTGGGGCTACAGCTGCCTCTCTGCTGGCAGCCTCTCCACTCTTCCCTGGGATCTTGTAGTGCAGGTTTGTAGCCCTCTGCAGATCCAGAGCTTCCTGAGAGCAAGGATTGTGCCGTCCTCCTTTTAATTATTCATGGTCTGCACTTAGCAGCTGCTTGCTCAGCGTCTGATCGAATGCCTGAGCCCATGAGCCCGTCTGCCTGAATTCTTGGCTGTCCAATAGGAGGAGTGGGAGAGGCAGGCCCAGAAGGAAGGCTAGTGACAAGTGCCTTTGACTGGAGCTCCGTTCAAGAGAGCTTGCATGGTAGAGTAGAAAGAACCAGGTTTGGTATCACCTACCTGTGGGTGGGAATCCTCAGCTCACCTGACCAGATCCGCAACCTCAGGTGGTCTCCAGCCCTCCCTGCTGCAGCCTTTTGTGTAACATTATCCCTGATCCTGAGCGTTCTCCAATCTTTCATCTTCCTCCCTGTCGCCTGCCTGGACTCGGAAAGGCAGTGTGTTCTCAGATGCTTGACAGAGGGACATTTGTGTTAAAGCAGCCAATTAAACCTTTTTTGCAGTGTTAAATTTTTTTGTATTACTATCACGTACTTAGGGGATAATTTGGACCAAGTTTCTTGAACAAGCAAATTTCCTGTCCTGACGGTGGCACACAGTCAGTTGTCATTTCCCTTCCTTCATTATTTTCAAAGAGCCACTGAATGAATCCCTTTTTGCCTCACACTTGCCTCCTCCCTCACCACCACCAGCACACACATAGAGGAGTATATTTACTGTTATCTCATGGGGAAATGGTCAATGGATCAGAAAGAGAATAGGAACTGGATAGAAAGGATGCAGGGTTGGGAGAAACAGCAGGAGAAAGAAAAGACAAAAGAGCAAGATCTGGCTATCTGATTATTTAATGAATGCTAATTGTATAGTAAGAGCTGTGCAAAGCGTTGAAAAGACAACACTAAATTAAATCCTCTTCCTAGAGGAGAATAGTCTGACCTAGTGAAATGCTAAGCTCAGGGTCACAGGGGGCCATGTGCTACAGGAAGGAAGACTCAGGACCACGTCCTCCTGGGTTCTGGGAGTGTTGCCTGGAGGTGGCTCCTTAGGGGAGGGTCGGGCCGGGCTGGCTTGTGAAGTCTGGGAAGGTTGTTGGTACTCTGTACTCCAGGTAGGGTGTTCTGGCCATGTAGAAGCAACAGGATGGACTAGGAAGGAAGGGACTGATGGCTTGATACTAAAGGAGTCAGTAGACCGGAGGGAAGCTAGAAACCAGATGGAGAAAAAAGAGAGGTTGGAAAGACTACCTTCCATAGATTCCAAGGGAGTTAATACTTGTAGTTACAATGAGCAAGTGATTGAGATCTTTAAAAATATATATTTGTTTTATTATTTGAAAGAGTTAGAGAAAGAGGTCTTCCATCTGCTGGATCACTCCCCAAATGACCACAGCAGCTAGAACTAAACCAGTCCGAAGCCAGGAGCCAGGAGCTTCTTCTAGGTCTCTTACAAGGGTGCCGGGAGGCCAAAGACTTGGGCCATCCTCTGCTGCCTTCCCAGGCGAATTAGCAGGGAGCTGGATCAGAAAGGGAGCAGCCCATATGGGATGCTGATGCTGCGGGCTGGGCTTAAACCCACTAAGCCACAGTGCTGGCCCCAGTGATTGAGATCTTACAATGCTATGCATACCTCACACCTTATTAATACTCATTAGTAATGCTTACTAAACTCTAAGTCCCCAGACAACAGAGACTTTTATCCCTTGTTTCCAAACAAGGGAACAGGCCCACTGTGTCCATGGTCACAGTCCTAATAAGGCAGTATTTGAACCCAGTCAGAACTGCAGAAACTCTTAGAACTGTTACATCTCTAGTTTCATTCTTTCCTCCTTCTCCTTCCTTAAAGCCTTAAGTGGAAGACAAGTGAGAAGTTTGTGTGAGGTGGGGAACGCATCTCCTCTGTCTTTGTTCCCTTAGTCTCAAACCCAGATCTTCAATGTAGTCCTTACTCTTAACGACTTAGAGGTAATCCAGTCCCAGTTACATTGGCAAGATAATGGTTTCCTGCCTGCAGGACTCCACACTCTTTCCTAAAAGCACCGGGTAGTCCCTCCTGAAGTTGTATTTTGCACTTTGATCTCTTTGGGTGCGAGTGGCAGTATGGTCCTCCTTTTGAGTGATGGAGAAGGTCATGGCAGAACCCACATGACCACAAGAGACCCATCAGCCCTTCGTTGCCCTCCAGGTTACAGAGAGGCAGTTTGACAGCATCATTGAGCTGGTGAAAGTGTTTGGAGAAATTAAATAAATTCCTTCTTACTGAATGAGGTGGCTGGTACAAAAAGAGTGGAGGCGGGGTTTAAAGTCAAGATGACCTGGCTGCTGCTCCAGGCTGTGCTGGTGTGTGGTATTCTGACCACTGGCAGATCATCTGGTCTCCACTCGTCACTAGGAAGGGGATTGTATAACTCACTTGCAGGATTTTAGAGTGAAGGGTACAATTTGTTTGTTTGTTAAGGTTTGTTTATTTATTTGAAAGTCAGAGTTCCAAAGAGAAGAGCAAAGGCAGAAATAGAGATCTTCCACCTGCTGGCTCATTCCCAAATTGGCTGCAAAGGCTGATGTGGAGCCAGACTGGAGCCAGGAGCCAGGAGCCTCCCCCAGGTCTCCCGTATGGGTGCCAGGGGGCCAAGCACTTGGGCCGTCTTCTGCTGCTTTTCTCAGGCCATTAGCAGGGAGCTAGATCAGAAGTGGAGCAGCTGGTACTAAAACCGACGTCTGTATGGGATATGGGATACTGACTGGCATTGCAGGCTACAGCTTTGCCCAATATGCCACAATGCCAGCCCCTGTTTTTTGTTTTTTAATCTTGCAAAACTCGAAGTGACTTTTACAGTTTAACAAATAAGTATGCATTTTACTGTTTATTGTGTGCCTGTTGCTTTAAAATAATTTAAAACTTTAAAAATATTGTAAGAAGCAGTCACTTTGATTCTTGGCACTTTGGAAGTGGAGCCATCCCGTTCCACTAAATCTTAATTATTCCCTCTAGGTAATTCTCTGACAAATTTCATTTTTTTCTTTATTGTGAGCTCCTAAGTAAAGAGGCAAATACAGTATAATGGAAGAAACTCTGAAAAGGGGGTTCCCAGAAGTGTTTTACAGCCCAGCTGTAGGACTTTGGCAAGTCCTGTAGCTTCCCTAGGCTTCACTTCCTCTGTGTAAAGTGCTGTAAACTCTAACTTAGAGGCCTGCCGTAGGATTCTGTTTCAGAATAGTAAGCGCCTGGCACCTGCTAGCTCCTGCTGTGATGCCCATGATGAGCAAGATGGAGGCCCTGTGGGCGACCGGAACACTCAGTGCTGCCGATAAAATGCACAGTGACCAGTCCTGTTGAGCCTAGTGTACTGAGATGTTTTTAACAAAACAATTGCTACTTGCTAACTTGAGACTAAATGGTAGCAATAATACTGTTTAAAGGATATAAGGTATCCATCCCCAAGTTTCCATTTTCTATATCACAATCAAAAAGTTGAGCTGTGGAAAAATGCTTATTATGAAAAAAACTATGCATGGATTTTAAGATTTTTTTAAATTCTATTTCCATACAAACTTTTTGAAGTACCTTCCTGCTGCACGACACACTGAGGCCAGGCGCCACCTAGAGTCAAGGGTGTGACTTGCACCCACATTCTCCCCAAGTACTTTCAGTTTTTAATTCTGTTGCTGTTCCTAAATTTTTTTAATTAATTAATTAATTTTTTTTTTTGACAGGCAGAGTGGACAGTGAGAGAGAGAGACAGAGAGAAAGGTCTTCCTTTGCCGTTGGTTCACCCTCCAATGGCCGCCGCGGCCGGCGCGCTGTGGCCGGCGCACCACGCTGATCCAATGGCAGGAGCCAGGAGCCAGGTGCTTTTCCTGGTCTCCCATGGGGTGCAGGGCCCAAGCACCTGGGCCATCCTCCACTGCACTCCCTGGCCACAGCAGAGGGCTGGCCTGGAAGAGGGGCAACCGGGACAGAATCCGGTGCCCCGACCGGGACTAGAACCCGGTGTGCCGGCGCCGCTAGGCGGAGGATTAGCCTAGTGAGCTGCGGCGCCGGCCTAGAAGCCTTTTCTAAATAGTGCTTGCTTTGTATCCATGTCATCCAATGGGAAACTAAAGAGATGACTCTGTTCTGAACCTCCATATTATCTGTTGAGAGTGTCATTGGTTGTTTGTTCTCAACAGTTTTTCTGTGAAGTAGATGAGGAAAAAACAGTGGTTTGGAAATGGTTTTCATTTCTTTTGTTTAAAAAAAAGGCTTTAATTATTTATTTGAAAGGTGGAGTGCCAGAAAGAGAGAGATCTTCCATCTACTGCTTCACTCCCCAAATGCCCACAACAGCCAGAGGTACGCCAGGCCAAAGCCAAGAGCCAGGACCTCCATCCAGGTCTCCCATGTGGATGGCAGGGACCCAAGTTCTTGAGCCATCTTCCACTGCTTCCCAGGTATGTTAGCAGGAAGCTAGATTGGAAGCATGGCATAGCCAGGACCTGAACAAAGCAGGCATCCCAAATGATAGCTTGACACCTCTGTGCCACAATGCTTGCCCTCATTTCCTATTAAAAAAAAAAAAAAGTTAATTTGGGGCCACTGCTATGGCATAGTGGGAAAAGCTGTCACTACAATGCCAGCATCCCATATGAGCACCGATTCAAGTCCTGGCTGCTCTACTTCCAATCCAGCTCCCTGCTCATCTGCCTGGGAAAAGAGTGAAAGATGGCCCAAGTGCATGGGCCCCTGCCCCACTGGGAGATCTGGAAGGAACTCCTGGCTCCTGGCTCCTGGCTTCTGGCTTCAGACCAGACCAGCTCCTGCTGTTGTGTCCACTGGGGAGTGAACCAGTGGATGGAAGATACCTCTCTTTTTCTGTTTCTCTCTCCCTGCCCCCCACCTCTCTCTAAACCCTGCCTTTCAAATAAATAAATAAATTGGGTGATTTTTTTTCTAATTCATAAAAATAATATAAGCTCATCATATGTTTGGGAAATAACAGGAGGGCAGAATCAAGAAATCTCTCTCTCAGTTTTTCCCAACAGAAGATGACTCATAGGCAGCCAGTTGTAACATGCTGACTAAATTCCTTCTACCCTTTCCTCCTGAACAGAAACACACAACATGTACATACATGTAAAGTCAGCACCAGATCATATGGCATGTTTGGCTCCTGCTAATCTCACAGAACCTTAATGGTGTGAACATTTTTCCACTGTTACCCAAAAATATTTGAACATTTAAACCTTAATGCCTGCCTAGCCTTCCACTTTGTGGTTATTTCACGCTTTATTAGTTAACCTTCTATTTGCTTGCTTTATACAAAGATTAGCAGCAGAGGCTTCTTCCGTTTGGTACATACGGTGGCCCTGCCGCATCTGGGATCAAGCAGCCTGTGCCCTTCATTTTATGAACATCAACATGTTTCCATGTTGACATGCTTTTCCACAGCAGAAATGCTATGACTGCAGATGAAATATCTCCTCCTTTCACTTTCAAGTCCCCTCACTGATGGGGACTTCCAGAGAACAGCTCTCCGCCCTGCCTCCCTTCCATTTCTCATCCTCACCTTGGGCTGGGCCCACACTGGACCCTTTATTCTGCCTCTCATTTGTCCTGTCCACGTGGAAACGCATGCACCTCGTGTATTCACACAAGGCCTCAGTCGCACTGATGGCTTACTTCTCTCTTCTGTCTCACTTTCTCTCACACACTGATTTCCATTCTCTCTTCCTTTGGCTGTAATTTCCTTCATTTCTCCTCACCTGATTGCTCGTTGGTTGAGGAAGAGCTCTCTTCAGGAAGTTCTGATGAAAGTGGAGTGGAGGGTGAAAGCCACAGCTCTCTCACGCTCTCCTAAAGGCCTCCTTCTCGTTGTATTTTGGCCACAGGTGGGTATCAGTATTGACAAACAGCAAGGAAGAGGCCCTAACCATGGCCTTCCGTGGAGAGCAGAGCACAGGAGAGAACAGCTTGGAGGACCTGACCAAGGCCATTATCGAGGATGTGCAGCGGATTCCTGGGAATGATGTCTGCTGCGACTGTGGCTCTTCAGGTATTTGTCCCCTTACTGCATTGGGCTTGTGAAACATCCTTCTCTTCCTGTAGGATATAAAATGAGCCAGTTATATAAAACCTGATCTTCCGTGGATGCGCTTACACACAGAACGTACTCCCACGTGAATATTCCCACTGCTGAGCTGTTCTTCCCTAGGCTTCTTCCCTCACCCAGAGACCTTCCACCTGCTCTCCTAAATGGTCACCTGCCAAAGTGGTCCCTTTCCTGGAAGATTCAGTTAAATAAACGCCTTAGACCTTAAAGAGCACAGGGCATGGAGTCTGCTACTCTTTTGAATCCCAGGTTTGCTGCTCAAAGCCTGGGCCACGCCAGATCCTTTAACTACTGTGATCTGCAGTGTCCTCACACTAAAAATGGGATAATAAGGCTCTCGTGAGGACTGACTGATGTAGTGTGTATGAAGTCAGTCCTTCCTGGTCAGGGAGCCCCTCCCCATGCTGAACCACACTGACGTTACCTCCTCACAGCCCTCTTGTTCAAGTGGCACATTGTTACCTAGCTCTTGGCCGTAGCTAACAGTTACTGAGTGTTTACACCATGTGCTGTTTGACTTATATTATTGTCCTGAATTTTCACAAAGTAGGACACTTGTGTTACCCCCGCCCCGCCATTATGCAGATGAGGAGGCCACAACTCAGAGAGGCTGTTGAGTGACTTGCATAAGGCCACACGGTTTGCAGCAGTCAGAACCAGGGAAATGCAAACCCATCGTTCTTAAGCGTTGTGATGCCCTTTATTGTTTTACTTGTGAAACTGGGCTTTGCTCCACATGACACCATAAGCGTCTCAGAAAGAAGTCTCCATTTTTTGTCATTTTCATGTGCATGTGTGGCAGTGACCCACATGCTGTGAGGAAATGAACAGGAGTAGCAGGGCCTCAGGTAGTGACCAATCAGGAAGAAGCCTGGCACAGAGAACACTGAAGATTTTGGTAAACTAGAAATAACCCTCCCCACTGTTCCGGAACCCTCGGGGATAACAGGAAAACCTTCATGTCCCTGAGAGAAACATTTAGTGTTCAGTTCTACAGCTGCCTTACTTCTGAGACAAGCTTATGGAAAAGCCACAACCAAGAGTGATAGGTTAATGCACAGTGTAACCAGGAGGTTAATGATAGCCACCGAGCCCCGTCCCTGTGAGCAGTACCTAACAGACCTCAGTCCGTCACGGTCAGAGTTGGTGGTGGCGGTGAGGGACCCCCCCCCCAGGCCTGTGGCTGGATGTTGCATAGCATCTCTCAAGAAGAGTCTGTCATGTTTTCACAAGGATAGAACACTTGGTTTTGTTTTCAGTTCATTACAAAGGGAAACTTATAATATCCTTAGACTAAACCACAGGCATCTGTTCATTCCACGGAAGTCTTTGTCTTAAAATAACTTTTTAAATTTTTATTTATTTATTTTTGTTGATAGGCAGAGAGAGACTGAAGCAGGTGGAGATCTGCCACCTGCTGGCTCATTCCCCGGATGTCCGTGGCTGGAGCTTGGGCCAAGTAGAAAAGCAGCCAGGAACTCGATCCAGGCCTCCTCCGTGGGCAGCAGGGACCCAACTGGAGCCATCAGCCTGGCGTCGATTAGCAGGAAGCTGGAAACAGGAGTAGAGCTGGAGCTCTTGTCAAGTGCTTTGGGTGGGGGCCGGCACTGCGGCATAGCAGGTAAAGCTGCTGCCTACAGTGCTGGCATCCCATATGGGCACCGGTTCAAGTCCTGGCTGCTCCACTTCCGATCTAGCTCTCTGCAGTGGCCTAGGAAAGCAGTAGAAGATGGCTCAAGTCCTTGGGCCCCTGCACCCACGTGCAAGACCCAGAGGGGCCGCCGGGCTCCTGGCTTCAGATCAGCACAGCTCCGGCCGTTATGGCCAATTGGGGAATGAACCAGCAGATGGAAGACCTCTCTCTCTCTGCCTCTCCTTCTCTCTCTGCCTCTCCTTCTCTCTCTGTGTAACTCTGACTTTCAAATAAATAAATAAATCTTTAAAACAACAACAACAAAAGATCTTTGGGTCATCACTGACATCATACATATGATGTTAATTGTTAAATAAACGACAGGAGTCACTGCACTAACTTCGCATGCAGGACCATCTCTGCTGAAACAGTTGTATTATGAAACTTAATAGTAAAACTTGTTCTCAAAAAATTGTTGTTTTAGTGTATTCAGTGGAGGGTATTCTGATGTCACACACAAATTATAGTTATTTCTAAGTGCTTGCAAAAGATATACCATTCTTGGGTTCTACTTTAAAAGTAACTAAGTTTTTAAAAAAAAAAGTGAAATTACCATCGAGATACAATGACTTTGAACAACCCCATGTCTGGACTGTTGAAGAACAGCTTTTGTTCTGTTTTGTTTTGTTTTACGTTTTTTGTTTTTAGGTTTTTTTGTTTGTTTGTTTTGATTTTTTTCCTTTCTCTCTCTCTCTTTTTCTCTCATACCAAGTGCTGAACTCTTTAACAAGAATAGAGTTTATCTTCTGTGCATAAAGTTAAATGAAAATAAGCCGGCGCCGTGGCTCAATAGGCTAATCCTCCACCTTGCGGCGCCGGCACACCGGGTTCTAGTCCCGGTTGGGGCACCGGATTCTGTCCCGGTTGCCCCTCTTCCAGGCCAGCTCTCTGCTATGGCCAGGGAGTGCAGTGGAGGATGGCCCAGGTGCTTGGGCCCTGCACCCCATGGGAGACCAGGAAAAGCACCTGGCTCCTGGCTCCTGCCAGGATCAGCGCGGTGCGCCGGCTGCAGCGGCGGCCATTGGAGGGTGAACCAGCGGCAAAGTTAAATGAAAATAGATCTTAGTGATAAACAAGACTGGAAACAGGAGAGGGAAGTGGAAGAGGGGTGAGAGTATGGGTGGGAGGGCGGGTACAGTGGGAAGAATAACTACGTTCCTAAAGTTGTATTTATGAAATACATTTAAATAAATAAATAAATAAAAGGAGGAAAGCCGTGGTTCAAACCCAGGCTCTCTAATGTGGGATATGGACATCCCAAATCACCCACCCAACACACATGCACCTAGAAATAGTTCCTAACAACTTTTGCTATTGTCTTAACTTCCTCTGTAGTTGGCACACTAAAATTAGATATTTTATTCCATTGTCTTCAAAATGTTTCCACAGAACCCACCTGGCTTTCAACCAACTTGGGTATTTTGACCTGTATAGAATGTTCCGGCATCCATAGAGAAATGGGGGTTCACATTTCTCGCATTCAGTCTTTGGAGCTAGACAAATTAGGAACTTCTGAACTCTTGGTAAGTAATGAACTGTACTTCGGGGAAAAAAAAACCTTTATGTTTATTGTCATGAGAAAATTTAGCATACTGCTTCTTTGTTTTTGTTTCTGCAAGAATTCTAACTCTTGAGTCTTAGGAATTTATGTGGATATTTAAAAGTAGCTTCTATAGTATATAATGTTAATTTAAGTATTTCATTTTCCTCTTTGGAAAAATGGTGAATCACCTATTGCTATAATTAGCTCAATGAAACTGGCTCTTTTGGGATGGGCTTCCTCAAAGCTGTGTTTTTTCACAGGAAGTCCGTTTTCATATGACTTTCTGTCATAGCGGTTAAACTCACACGTTCACATTACCTAGTGGTTTGTTATTTTAAAAATGACTCAAGTTTCTCTCAGCTTGATTTTTACTGTTTGCAGGTTTGTGAGAGTACCATGAACTAGTTAACTGCTATTGTAAAGCCAATTACTCCCTGGCTTCCAGCTTCTTCAGGTAGTAAGGGAAAACATTGTGTGATGTTACCGTACTTAGTTCTGTAATACAGAAAAGGGTCATAAACACTTCAGCTTGTTTTTCTTTAACTCCCACCCCTTTGCATCAGGATTCACCCAAATTTGGAGTTAAATTGATCACAGTAACACAGGAAAAAAAAAGACGCTTTGTGATCCTGAGCCCTGTCTTGCGTAATCTTAACGCTAGGGCACTACAAAAGAGAGTCTTTTAACTAATAGTGAATTTTTTTTAAGAAAAATGGGATTCCTGAGACAGAAGGCTCTCCCTTGCATAGAACTTGGGTAAATCTTGAGGTTAAAAAAATCTGGGCCGGCGCCGCGGCTCACTAGGCTAATCCTCCGCCTGTGGCGCCGGCATTCCAGGTTCTAGTGCTGGTTGGGTTCTAGTCCCAGTTGGGGTGCCAGTTCTGTCCTGGTTGCTCCTCTTCCAGTCCAGCTCTCTGCTGTGGCCCAGGAAGACAGTGGAGGATGACCCAAGTCCTTGGGCCCTGCACCCGCATGGGAGACCAGGAGGAAGCAACTGGCTCCTGGCTTTGGATCGGCGCAGCACGCCGGCCATGGTGGCCATTTGGGGGGTGAACCAACAGAAGGAAGACCTTTCTCTCTGTCTCTCTCTCTCACTGTCTAACTCTGCCTGTCCAAAAAAAAATTAAAAAAAAAAAAAATCTGAAGACCAAGCTTATCAGTAGCCTCATCTGGAAAGAAGTACCAGAAGTCCAGGCAGTGAAACACCCTGCCAACAGTCCTTGCTTTCTGGACATCTGTTAAGCAGTGATGATCTGTCTTATGTTAGAAGCACCTTTTCATTTAGGAAGTAGGAGATTATCATGCTACCCCGATCACTTTGGGATTATAGAGACAAGGCTCCAACCTAATAATGCAATGCAATTCTCTTATAGTACAGAAGCACCATCATTCTGTCTCCTTGACTTGTATTAATGAAAACCACTTTGACAACTACAAATAGGAAAAGTCCAAATCCTAAGCACTTGTCGTGCAGTAAACTCAAGATTGTCCCCCAAAAGTGGTCTTTCTTTTCCGTCCACAGTTCGATGTAAAAAGGGTACGTGGTAGGAAAACAATTGCTGTTCATTGAAAGTTTAACATAAACTCACACCTGAAGCTGCTCTAGTCTCAGATAGGTTGTATGTGTGTAGGATCGGATCCTGTCCTATGCTGGCACTTCAAAAAGTTTGTGGGAGATGAGCATTAAAGATAAGTCTATTTTGGTGCAAAAAATGTTTGAAACCCACGCATAGTTTTTTCATGATGGACATTTTCAGTGAACTTTTGGAAGGCACCCCTGCCCCGTATTTGTAGACATTGAATTTTCTTATCAGAAGCCCCACTAGCCTGTGGGCACCCGTGGGGAAAGGAGAAGGTTTACTCATCTCCGTACATCCAGCACTCAAAGTTGAGTGCTCAGTGCTCAGTGAGTGAGTTTAAGTCGACCAAGTGGATGGGTGGTTTGTATTTTGAGTCAAATGAGTGAAAAAACACATAATTCAGAAATCTCAACTAATAAGGAAACTTTTAACTAGTAGTAAAGTTTGCTATACTGTGTTCTGTTTATGTTACAGCTGGCCAAGAATGTGGGGAACAATAGTTTTAATGATATTATGGAAGCAAATTTACCCAGTCCCTCACCTAAACCCACCCCTTCCAGTGATATGTAAGTATTTCTTTGTTTTTTTTTTTTTTTTAAGATTTATTTATTTATTTGAAAGTCAGAGTTACACAGAGAGAGAAGGAGAGGCAGAGAGAGAGAGAGAGAGAGAGGTCTTCCATCCGATGGTTCACTCCCCAATTTGCCACAATGGCCGGAACTGCGCTGATCTGAAGCCAGGAGTTTCTTCTGGGTCTCCCACATGGGTGCAGGGGCCTAAGGGCTTGGGCCATCTTCTACTGCTTCCCAGGCCATAGCAGAGAGCTGGATGGGAAGTAGAGCAGCCGGGTCTCGAACCGGCACCCATATGGGATGCCGGCGCCTCAGGCCAGGGCGTTAACCCACTGCGCCACAGCACTGTCCCCATACGTAAATATTTCTAATACCAGAGATACCTTACCCTTCTGTAGTTGTTTTACACTCTCCAAAACGTCTTTTTGTTGCAAGCCTCATTATCAGAGAGAAGCAGAGCAAAGGAAAGTTTGTCAACATATGTTTCTGGGATGCGTAAGTGTTTTCACCGGCACCTTCCCCAGGGTTGTTGCCACTGAGCACCTGCTCTGTGAAGCATAGATCTTCATGAGACCAATCATCTCCAGATTTATGTTGTGATCAATAACAGATACACACAGACAATGCGAGACTCCTGTGAGTTTGGCAGAAATCCAGATGCTGAGCAGCCCACTCAGCAAGACTGGAGAAACAGACATTCTGCTTCATGTGATGCCAGTAGGCATACAAAATAGTACACTAGACAAACAAATTCACCATACTTACCAAAATTGTAAATGTATGTACCTTTGACTCGGCAGTCCCAGTTCTGGGCATTTATTCCTATTTTGTAATAGGAAAAGATTAGGAATGCAGCAGGTGTATCTGTAGACACCTGACTGAGTCTTCTGTGGTGAGGTCACAGAACACTGCAGATGTGACAAAGAATGATGTTTCCCGTGTTCTGAGTGAGACGGATCTCTGGGATTATTGTTAAATATAAGAAGCAAGGACAGAGCACTGTACACAATAGAGTGCCTAACTGATGAAATCCTTACTTAATAAATACTAAACTGATATTCTGTATATAAAGAGAATTGAAAATGAATCTTGATGTGAATGGAATGGGAGAGGGAGTGGGAGATGGGAGGGCTGCAGGTGGGAGGGAAGTTATGGGGGGAAAAAGCCATTGTAATCCATAAACTGTACTTTGGAAATTTATATCTACTAAATAAAAGTTAAAAAAAAAAAGATTGCCTTTGGGGACAGGAAGGGATAATGGGCTGTGAGGGGAAATTAAATATATCCCTCTATATCCAGATTCACCGTCCAAACTCAGGAGCTGAATTTTTGCTAAATTTGTTGATAAAGCTCTCACCTTTGAACTCTCACTACCTGGATTCAGAAATAAATAAATTTGGATAGTAAAAAGCACTGAAGAAACACTGGCAAGGGGCTAATAAAAAAAAGGGGAAACTAATAAAAATGCTTATTCTGCTATGGGAGTAGGAGAGTAAATACTTTTTCATACCACTTCTTTGTTTTTGAGCCATGTGAATCTATTACTCTATTCAAAAAACCTGTTTTTGTTTTTATTTGAAAGACAGAGATACAGAAAGAAGGAAAGACAGATCTTTCATCCACTGGAATCCCCAAATTGATGAAATGACCTAGGTGGGCCAGGCTGAAACCAGGAGGAAGGAGCTTCTTCCAGGTCTCCCACCTGGGGACTTGGGCCATTTTCCACTGCTTTCCCAGGCTCATTAGCAGAGAACTGGATTGGAAGTGGAGCAGCAGGGACTAGAACAGGAGCCCATGTGGGATGCTGGCACTGCAGATGATGCCTTAACCCAGTGTGCCACATCACACATCACTTTGGTTTATGTTCATACTTTTTTAGTGCTGCAGGTGAATGGAAAAGATGAGTTCAAGTAGGGTGGTCAGGGGAGGCATGGTGAATAGGCAGGCTGCAAGGCAGACACAAGCCTGAGTATTTTGCTAGCCCTTCCTTGGTTCTTTATTAGGGCATCAGATTTGCAAAGTACTGAAATGATCACAGGGCACATTGAATGAACAGGTTTTTTCGCTCTGAAATTAGGAGACGAAGTCTTCCAGAGGCTCTTTGCCATTGTCTTTTCCTGAATGCAGCGAATGCTTACTGTATCCCACTCTGTGCCTTATGTTGTGTTTCAAGCTGGGAAACAGCGAAGGAAGCTCCTTGGGAACCCTCCCTGCTCTCTAGAGTCTGGAGACTGGGAGGTAGACACAGCTAAGAAGTTAAACAGCTCTTTGTTTAGTCACAGTTGTGGGAAGCATCACACAAGAAGAGTTGGGAATTTCAGGCATGGATAACGCCCTGACCTGACCTGGGCAGCCATACTTGACAGGTTCTTTTGTCCACACCGTGTCCAAGTATCATCCTACCACAAAAACAGCTTTGATGTCTTTTTCACACTAATGTGCAAAAGCTGTACTGAGAAGTAAGACTTCTTAGAAGTTCTAACCATAAAACTACCGTGAACAAATAAAGTCTGAAGTTGTATCACCAGCGTGTGGTGGAAATCAGTGCACACACACTGCCATCTTGCCCACACCAGCTTTTTAAAAATGTTTACGTGTTAGGGTGAGAGGGCAGGTGTGATGGGAAGAATCACTATATTTCTAAAGTTGTACTTGTGAAATTTGTACTGATTAAATAAATGGTTTCTTTGGGAGAAAAAAAAAGTTTATGTGACCTAAATCTTGAAGACATCGATTTAGGATGAGTTTTACAACCATGTGGATTTTTATTTCCTGTTCCTTCTCATGGGAAAAAAAAAAAAAACCTGCCACTGTCAGCTCTGTGGCCCTGTAGAGGCACCAGACCTGTGTAGGGCTCTCCCCTTCACAGTCTTTGTGATTCTCTAGCATCTGTAGTGATGTGGTTAAAGGTCACAGATTTTGGAGCCAGGCTGCTGAAGATCAGATCCCAGCTCTGCCACTTCCTAAACTGAGTGATCTTGGGCAAGTAGCTTCAACTGTCTGTGCCTCCATTTCTTTATCTGGGAGGTGTGTTTACCTCATAGGGTTGTGGTGAGGACTGAGGGACATACAGTGCTCAGAGGCAGTACGAGGTGTACAGTCAGTGCTGCAAAATCACTTACTGTTACAGGGGTTCCTTGGCTTCTGAGGGGCTTACGTTTGTTCTACCTCACGATCACGGGGCTGCCTGGGAGCTGAGGCCGCTGCTGTGGCCACCCCACATCACAGGGGTTATTGAACCCCCATGGCTAGCCTTTAAAATGATAAAAAAAATCAGAATACAGTGCCTGTCAAGTGCATACTGCTTTCACGCCATCATAAAGTTGAAAAATCCTAAGGTGAACCATTGTTAAGTCAGGACTATCTGTATTACTATTACTCTCTCATTTGGCCAGGTGAGGTTGGTCAGAGTAAAGGGGACAGGCAGAAAGTTGTCTTTATCGTGCACAAAACTAGAATGCTGGTGCCCAGATTTTCAGACAAATCTATTTTCCATCCTCCTTATTGCCCCAGTGTCAGAAAGCCTTTCGTTGCCAGGGGATAACGGGCTGAATGCACAGAAATATTTGAATATATCTTGCCTCGTAAGAGCTCATACACTTCCTGTGGCCAAAGCTGAAGACTCAAGAGGACTTAGATGATTGTGTGACACCTGACTGCCCTCTGCACTCACAATAGCAGGAAGCCACCTGCAGACTTTCTGAAACTCAGCTTACAGCCTGGAGAGATCTGCCTCCCCACAGCTTTACATCCTGCTTCTGTCTGCTTGGATCACAATAGGAAGGGAGCTTTCAACCACACACCTAACGCGTGCATCACTCTTTGTTCTTGCCTTTGCTCTGGCTTTCCTGGAAGGTAGTAATGAGGCAAGTGTGATTACTGATGTGTTACAGGTGAGGAAACTGAGGTGCATTGAGAACTTGATTTACCCAGGGTCACATAGCAAGTGTTACCAGCCTTGAATCAAGCCATCTGATTCTCCGTCCATCACACAGTACTGCCATTCCTACTTTGTATAAGTCCCAGGCAACAGGAGACTCACAAGCCAGCCTCAGGCCATCCTTCCAGCTGTCTCGAAGTCTTATAATTTGTAAGACCATAGCCATCCTAAAAGGACTGACCTAAGTGTAAAGAACACCCACGAGTGTAAGGGTTTTGGTACTTGGCAGAATCAGCAAGTCACAGGCCAGAGCTGGGAAAGACCAAAGGTATGTGCTGTCATCAACCAGCTCATTTCTCTTTCCTGCCACCCCAGAATGAAAGACAAGGGCATTAGCACACAATTTTAAATGATGTTGCCTGGTTACAGGATATAGGAAACAATAGCTACTACAGGTGGAACAGCTGTCTCTGAGCAAGAAATTTTGCATCCTTTGAGTTACAGCCCTCCTGGGAAGACGAAAGCATCATTTTGGTGCTATGCGTTCTGCAGTCAAAGATAAACCAATGAGTCATCTCCATTTTTAGATGAAAAAAAGTGAAGCTCATGAAGATTAAGTACTTAGCACTAGGATTGGAACCCAAAATTCATTTACTGTCTTTTTATTAATTGGATCATGTAACTGGGAACATCAGAGGGTGGGTTCAGGCAGTTAGATCCAGTCAAATAGTGTCAAGTAGACCCTAGGTCTCTGTCCCTGTGTCTTGTCTCTCCTTTCCACTGAGCCAGCTTGCATTTCAGTCTTTCCCCACAGGCAGCACAGGTAGCCATTGGACTAAGGTCATACGCTCACCCGTGCAGCTGGGAGGTGAGCTCCATTCCTCCAGTGCCACTTGGATCCAAGTGGAGGTGTTTCCTCTAGAGGAGAGGAAATGCACCACGTGTGCTCATGCTTGGGGCGTGTCATCTGCAAAGCTCTCTCTCCTCCCAGACAGAAACCTCTGCCCGCAAGACAGCTTGTCTTGACCCTTTTGGAGCTCACAGCTTGGCCTGTGGAAGTTGCTTTAGTGGCAACCTATAAAAGAGGGAATCAAGTCTGATGACTAAAATCCTTTTCAGGAAGCTTGGGAAAACGTAGTGAATCGTTGAACTTTAAAAAATTCATTTCTTGGCCGGCGCCGCAGCTCACTAGGCTAATCCTCCGCCTAGCGGCGCCGGCACACCAGGTTCTAGTCCCGGTCGGGGCGCCGGATTCTGTCCCGGTTGCCCCTCTTCCAGGCCAGCCCTCTGCTGTGGCCAGGGAGTGCAGTGGAGGATGGCCCAGGTGCTTGGGCCCTGCACCCCATGGGAGACCAGGAAAAAGCACCTGGCTCCTGGCTCCTGCCACCGGATCGGCGCGGTGCGCCGGCCGCAGCGCGCCGGCTGCGGCGGCCATTGGAGGGTGAACCAACGGCAAAGGAAGACCTTTCTCTCTGTCTCTCTCTCTCACTGTCCACTCTGCCTGTCCAAAAAAAAAAAAAAATTTTTCATTTATTTATATGCTTACATATGTCCGAGTTTGAAGTATCAGTAAATATCAGATTTCTCAAGCTACTGGTCACGGCAGGAAAGAAATCTGCTATGATCCATGCATTTGCCCACTAGCTTTGTAACTGCACAGTTAATACCTGCAGATACTAGTAAATAAATGAGTTTCTTTATTCTGTGTATTAGAATAACTTGGAGTAAAACCCAGTGTGCTTGAAGAAGTGTCTTATGTAAAATAACACTTCTCAAAGGCAAATTTTTTGTCAGAAAAATTTAAACCTGCCTTAAGCTCTTGGAAAATGAAAGTTTTTTGTTTTGTTTTGTTTTAGGACTGTTCGTAAGGAATATATCACTGCAAAATATGTGGATCACAGGTTTTCAAGGAAGACCTGCTCATCAGCAGCAGCGAAACTGAATGAACTGCTTGAGGCTGTCAAATCCAGGGATTTACTTGCACTAATTCAAGTCTATGCAGAAGGAGTGGAGCTCGTGGAGCCACTCCTGGAATCAGGACAGGTCAGGCCTCACTAAGTTATGGGACAAAATATCACCACCAAACATCAGTTTAAAAGGTTACTGATTCTAATGTCATTTAATGAGATTCTTATACATTAGGTAACCATATCTAAAGTGAATTTGAGAGTGTGAAGGGGTGCTCATTATAATTACTAGGAGGCAATGGAAATAAATGAAGCTGTTGAGGCAGACAGCCTGTGATCATCCTATTTCTATTTACCCTTCCGTTTTAGGAACTTGGAGAGACAGCCCTTCATCTTGCAGTCCGAACTGCCGACCAGACATCTCTCCATTTAGTTGACTTTCTTGTACAAAACTGGTATGATTTTTGTATTCTCTATTGAATTATTTGAATGTTCTTCATAATTTAACATAAACCAGTTCTGGAGTGACCGAATCAGGAGTCGGCAAGCTTTTTCTATAAGAAGCCACATAGTGAAGATTTTAGGCTTTGCAGACCTTGAGGTCTCTATCACAGCTCGTCACTTCACCAGTACAGTGTGAAACACCATAGGCAATAGGTATATGAGAGAGTGGCTGTGTTCCAATAAAACTTTATTTACAAAAACAAGTGGCAAGCCAGATACGGCACACAAGCTGCAGTTTCCAATCCTTGGCCTTGATAAATGTAAAATCTTGTCTCTGTGTCCAAAAAACCTGCTGCCCTAGCAGAGTTTGAAAAAGATGACAGCACAGTCAACCAGGCTTGAGAGCTTTTATTGTTCATAAGCTCAATATAAGACTGTGTGTGACTAGATCAATAGTTAATTCAAATTCAGGACACACTGATAGGAAAATAATACTGAACACAGAAGGTTTGCACTTGCTAAATTCTGTATTGGGCAGTTCTATAAACAACAGATTAGAAGGAAGAACTGGAGCTTGTCCACAAGAGAATGATGAAAATAGTGAGGGGCTTTGAACCTACCTGTGAAGAGTGTTTTGTGGACACAAGCCACATGGGGTAACTGTCTAAGAATCCTGCTTACACATTTTCCAGGAACTTTTTGAACTACCCTGTACGCCTCATGGATAAGCAGAGAAGGCAGTAATCTTTAGGTATAAGTTATAATAGAGACATATTTTCCTAATAATGTGATTTTCTCAGTGGGAACCTGGACAAGCAGACGGCCCTGGGGAACACAGTCCTCCACTACTGTAGTCTCTATGGTAAACCTGAGTGTCTGAAGCTGCTTCTCAGGAGCAAGCCCACCATGGACATCGGTAAGAATGTGGCCGTGTGGTCTCTCAGCGACCCCAGTAAGAGCATTTGTTCCGCCAAGACAGATTTGCTTATATTTTGGTTATTGTTCCTTGCCTTTTTAAGATGTGTCCTAGATAGTTATACAAGTTTATTTTTCCCCTATTCCAGTGAACCAGGCTGGAGAAACTGCCTTGGACATAGCAAAGAGACTAAAAGCTACCCAGTGCGAAGATCTGGTAAGCAGAATTGGAATGGGAGCTTTCTTGTACGCCAGCTGCCTTAAAATGTCTTCTGCAAACTGGAATTAGAGATAAAAGCAGCAGATTCATTTTTTTGTAGCATTGGCTAAAGCTGGCGAGTACTAGATTCCGTTGGAAAGAGTGGTAAAAGGGTAAATTCGTCATCCGCATGTCTTCTGAGTGCAGCTGTGGCATGGGAGCTGCAAGACATTTGAGAGGTATTATTACCAGACAGGCGTGTGGACTGAGGTCTGCTTTTTACTTGCCAGACCATTAGGCTTTCTCTGCAGCTTAACCATGAGGAAGAATTATTCAGGAAGCCATTTCCAAAAGTGGACCAAGTAAAGCTCGGAGTGTGATGGCTTTTGAATTGTTAAACACTGAGAGCAGCTGAGCTCACAGAGACCCACAGAACAGATGAGGCCCTACCCATCCACCTACCCACAGCTGAGTAGCCTTTCCAGAGTGGCTCAGCCCACCAAGGCCCCCAGGAGACAGCTAGGCAGCCCCACCCATCTTCCTATGGCCCCAGAACACAGTTGAGCAGCCCACTGGTACCTTGAAAAGCAGAGGCTTAGCTGATGTTACCTGTGCAGCCCTTAAAAACTGGCAGGCACCCTACCTGGGCACAACATGGTGGTCATTAGACACTGATAGACCCCTCTGCAATTCCACCCTGCTACTAGGCATGCTGTGACACAATTCACCTGGGCCCACAAGAATGTCTCCACACTCAGATTACCTGCAGAAACCCATACCCACAGCCAGGTGAACTGCATACAGAGCCACCACTGACCCTACCCTACCTACTAGCGGTGCAGCCCACAACCGCTGCAGCCTACGGCACTGAGATACCTGCAGACAATGTCAACGTTGATTACAGGTGAAGAAGCTGCATGGTCATTACAAGAGAGTGCACACCTGGAGCCAGAGCCAATCTATCCTTTCCAAACAACATCCTAGAACACGTTGCCAGCAGAAAGTCTTTTACTGTGAAAGCCACCCTGTGCAACTGGTAAAAGTAATTAACCCGGCCGGCGCTGCGGCTCACTAGGCTAATCCTCCACCTTGTGGCGCCGGCATACCGGGTTCTAGTCCCAGTCGGGGCACCGGATTCTGTCCCTGTTACCCCTCTTCCAGGCCAGCTCTCTGCTGTGGCCAGGGAGTGCAGTGGAGGATGGCCCAAGTGCTTGGGCCCTGCACCCCATGGGAGACCAGGAGAAGTACCTGGCTCCTGCCATCGATCAGTGCAGTGCGCCGGCCGCAGTGTGCCGGCCGCGGTGGCCATTGGAGGGTGAACCAACGGCAAAGGAAGACCTTTCTCTCTCTCTCTCACTGTCCACTCTGCCTGTGAAGAAATTAAAAAAAAAAAAAAGTAACCCATCAGATGCACAAAAACCAACGTAGGGGCACAAAATCATAAAAAACACAAAGTAACACGATGCCTCCAAAGGAACAAAATAACTCTGGCAACAGACCACAAAGAAATGGAAATCAACAAATTATATGACAAAAATTCAAAATAATGGTTTTACATTCCTACAGACTTACTTTTAAGGGTACAGTTTAAAAATTTGCCATGGGACCTCAAATCTTCTTAAGCTGGTGGGTAATTTAAGTGTTGAAGTGATCATATGGGTAGGATTAAGTGTTCAGTAATAATCATAGAATTAAAAAGGAGTGAAGGCTCCAACATGGGAAGCAGTCCACACAACAGATTCATAGAATGACAGTCGTTTTAAGTAGCACTCTGACCTCAGAATCAGCCCTTAAGACATTCTGGTCTGGCTGAAAAGCCCACAAGAGTAATTTCAGGCATGGAAAGCCAATGGGCAAAAAGTGTCCTACATTAAGGACCTCTGTGGGTGAGACCTCAATGGAAAGAAGTGTGGTCATCAAAGAAGGATGTATTTTTCTTTGAAGGGAGGAGAGCACTTCCACTTTGCTGATGGCCTTGACTAAATAGTGAAGGAATTTGTGGATTCAAAAGGCTTCCATAGCCTAGTAGCTCATGTCAAGAGCCCTGGGTGATCACTGAGGTCGTACATAAGTGTTAATTATTAAATTAACAACAAAATTCACTGTGCACCTGTGCCCTCAAAGAGTTGTATTAGGAGAGTTAGCAGTAAAACTTGTTTTTAAGTGTGTTAAGTAGAGGATATACTTATGTCTCATAATTTTAGTTAGGCCAGAGTGTCCAACTCCATTGCTTGTTTTTCTTTTTTTTTTTTTTTAAGATTTATTTGCAAGAGTTATAGACAGAGGTAGAATCAGAGAGAGAGGTCTTCCATCCACTGGTTCACTCCCCAGATGGCTGCAATGGCCGGAGCTGAAGCCAGGAGCTTCCTCCGGGTCTCCCAAGCAGTTGCATGGGCTCATGAACTTGGGCCATCTTCTATTGCTATCCCAGGCATAGCAGAGAGCTGGATCGGAAGAGAAGCAGCTGGGCCTAGAACCAGTGCCCTTATGGGATGCTGGCACTTCAGGCCAGGGCTTTAACCTGCTGCACCACAGCACCAACCCCCATTGCTTGTTTTCTTAGGTGCTGCTTTAATTAATGACAAAACTTATTCCCAAAGACTTTCTTTTAATGTATTAAGTGGAGGATACTGTTAATGTCTCATATGCTACAGTTATGTCTAAAATGCTCCCAAAAGATGTTTTGTTCTTGGGTGCCTCTTTAAAGTTAATTAAGTTTCTCAAAAAAAGTGAAATTAACTATGAGATGCAATGACTTTGAACAGCCCTTGTCTCAACTATTGAGAAACAGTTTTTCTTCTTCTTTTTTCATACAAATTGATGAACTCTTTACTTACTGTAGACTTAATCTTCTGTGCATAAAGTTAATTGAAAATAGATCTTAACATAAAATAAGACTGGGAATAGGAGAACGAGGAAGAAGAGGGTGGAAGTGTGGTTGAGAGGTTGGCACAGTGGGAAGAATCACTATATTCCTAAAGTTGCACTGAAGAAATACATGAAGTTTGTATTCATTAAATAAAAGGTTTATCTGGAAGGAAAATAAAACAAAGTAATGATTTTAAGGAAACTTAGTGAGATGCAAAGAAATATGAACAGACAGACAACTCAGTGATATTAAGAAAACTATCCATGATACAAATGAGAAATTCAGCAAAGATCAGAAATCTTTAAACTAAGGAAGTCAATTAACGAAATTTAAAATACATTTGAGAGCCCCCAGAGAAGAATTGAGCAGGCAGAAGAAAGAATTTTTGAGCTTTGAAGATAGTCTTTTGAAGTAACTCTGTCAGACAGAAAAAAAAAAAACAGAAATTTAAAAGAACAAAGCCTTCAACGCTTACGGGACACCATTAAGCCTGCCCAGATTCTAATTATGGGTATTCCAGAAGGGAATGAGAGGGGAAAGGCATAGAAAACCTACTCAATGAAATAATTGCTGAAAATCCTCCCAAAAAAATCTTGGTAAACATGTCAGCATCCAGGTCCAGGAAGTCCAAAGGACCCCTAATAGATCTAACAAAAAGATCCTTTTCAAGGCAAAAACAAGACAGAGAAAATTCTAAAAGCAGCCAAGAGAAAAGACTCTAGTCACTAGTGAGGAAATCCTCATTAGATTGATAGCAGCCTTCCCTTCTGAAATGAAGCCTCACAGATCAGGAGAGAATAGGGTGAAACATTCAAGGTTGTGAAAGGAAAAAGAGAATTCCAGCTGAGAATACAGTTAAGCAGTCCTTCACAAATGAAAAAAAAAAAAACTTTCCGTGACAGGCAAAAACAGAAGGAATTGATCACCACCGTACTGACCCTACAGGAAATGCTTACAGGACTCCTACGTAGAAGCGAAGCAATGGGGGCTGGTGCTGTGGTATAGCGGCTAAAGCCACTGAGGCATCCCATATGGGTGCCAGTTCGAGCCCTGGCTGCTCCACTTCCAATCAGGCTCACTGCTAATATGCCTGGGAAGGCAGCAGAAGATGGCACAAGTGGTTGGGCCCCTGTACCCACCTGGGAGACCCAGAAGAAGCTCCTGGCTCCTGGCTTCAGATCAGCACAGATCCAGACATTGTGGCCATTTGGGGAGTGAACCAGCAGATGAAAGATCTTGCAATTGCTTGCTCTCTCAATATATAACTCTGAATTTTAAATATTTTTTTTTAAAAATAAGAGTTTAAAACAGATGTGATTTGATAGACAACCAACTAGGAATCATGCTAGATCCTAGCAGGGAGGCCAGGCAGAAGGAAGGTATTTAAAAAAGAAAAGGAAGTGAAGCAATGATAAGCCATCATGAGAACACACAGAAGTACAAATATCAACAGAGTACACAAAAGATAGAAGAGAAAGCTAGTGATTGCTATTTTATTTTTCCTTTTTTATGGATTTGACTTGCTGTAATTTGGTTTGAGTTCTTTTCCTCTGTATTAATTAGGACTGTAATTCTATAATTTTTTTTCTTAGATCCATCAGATTTTCCTATCAGCGTTATTGGTCTCTCTCTTTTTTTTTTTTTTTTAAGATTTATGTATTTATTTGAAAGACAGAGTTAGAGAAAGGCAGAGAGAGAGAGTATGAAGTCTTCGATCCGTTGGCTCACTCCTCAAATGGCCACAACAGCCAGAGCTGGGCCGATCCAAAGCCAGTAGCTTCCTCTGGGTTTCTCACATGGGTGCAGGTGCCCAAGGACTTGAGCCATCTTCTACTGTTTTCCCAGGTGATAGCAGAGAGCTGAATCAGAAGTGGGGCAGCCGGGACTCGAATTGGCACCCACATGGAATACTGGCACTGCAGGCAGCGGCTTTACCTGCTATGCCACAGCACTGGTTCCGTATTATTCATCTCTCAAAATGAGTTGGAAAGCATTTGATCCTTCTCTGCTTTCCTGAAGAACTTCATATTATTGTTTCTTCTTTAAATGTTGAGTAGACTTCCCAGTGAAACTCTTCAGGTCTTTAGTTATCTCTGGGGGAAGGGTTTTAAACTGAATTTCTTAGTACATTTGGAGCTATTCAAAAAATATTTTTCCATCTATATCTGAATTTGCGTTTTGAAAAAATATGCACATTTCACATAAGTTTCTGGAATTTTGACATAAAATTGTTTAACATTCTTTCAAAAATAGAGTGGGTGTTTAGCCTAGTGATTTCGATACCTGTATACCACATCGGAGCACCTGGGTTCAGTTTTTGGCTCTAGCTCCTGACTTGAGCTTCCTGCCAATGCAGACCTTGTGAGGCAGCAAGTGATGGCTCAGGTAATTGGGTCCTGCCACCCCCACGAGAGACCCGGATTGCATTCCTAGCTCTGGCTCTGGCCCTAGCAAGCATCGGAGGAGTGAATAGCAGATGGAAGCATTTTCTCTCTCCTGTCTGTCTCTCTCTCTCCCCCTCTTTTTTTAGTTAATCTCATAGAAACTGAGAGTAGAACAGAACCAGAAGGTGACAGGGAGAGGAGTGGAGGGAAGGTGAAAGGAATGGTTAATCCATGAATGTGATGTTAGTTAGTTTGGAGGAACAGGTTCTGGTGTTCTGTGTCACAGCAGGGTGACTGTTGTGTGCAATGACGTATTGTGTCTTTCAAAACAGCCAGGAGAGAATCTTTAATGTTCTCACCACAAAGAGATGGTAAATGTTTGAGATGATGGGCATACTAAATATTCTTATTTGATCATCAAATAATGTATACATATATCAAAACATCACATTGTAGTCTGTGTATGTCAATCCATAAAAGGTTAACCACACTGCTCTCCTAGCCAATCACCCATTCTTTTGTGCATTTGCGGGGAGGGGGAGCTGCTGGTTCTTTCTTCATGACTGCATGATTCTCGTAACCGCAGAAAGAACAAGAAAGGAAAGAGAAGTTACATTCCTTTGAGTTTCTGCTGAGTGCCTGGTTCCAGGCCTAAGAGTTGTGTTTTGTTTTGTTTTAAAGATTTGTTTGTTTATTTTGAAAGCAGAGTGACAGAGATCTTCCATCTGCTAGTATACTCCCCAAATGGCCACAACAAGCAGGGCTGGGCCGGACGGAAGCCACGAGCCAGGAAGCCAGGAACTCTATCTGGGTCTCCCACACGGGTAACAGAAACTCAAGTATTGTAACCACTATCTGCCACTTCCCAGGCACACCAGCGGAGAGCCAGATCAGAATCAGCAGTTGAGGTTCTTAACCTGCACTATGATACGGGGTACAAGTGTCCTGAGCAGCAACTTAACCTGTACCACAGCACCCACCCCCATTTTTTATTCTTAAAAGAATCCTTTGAGGGGCCAGTATTGTGGCACAGCACATTAAGCTGCCACCTGTGATGCAATTTGGGTCCAATTTGGGTACATGTTTGAGTGCTGCCTGTTCCGCTTCTGATCTCGCTCCCTACTAATGTACCTGGGAAAGCAGTGGAAGATGGCTCAATTCTTTGGAATCCTGCACCCTTCTGGGAGACCTGGATAAAGCTCTGGCTCCTGGCTTTGGCCTACTGCAGCCCTGCCCATTGTGGCCTTTTGGGGTATAAACCAGAGGATGGAAGATCTCTCTCTCTCTCCTCCCACCCCCATCTGTGTATGCCACTCAAATAAATAAATCATCTTTTAAAAAAATCCTTTGAGACAATTGTCCCTGCCTTATTTTATGAATAAGAAAAGGGGCCACAGATTGGACTGGGACTGTGGCTGTAAAGGCCAGCCTGTTAAATATTATGATTTTGATTTCCAGCCCCCAATCTGCAGTTTTCAGGCTCATTTTAAAAGTATTAAGAAAGGTTTTAATTTTGGAGTGAAGTCAGATTACCAAAATAAAGAAAGCTGTGCCTATAATTGTTTGCAGTTCCTCACCAGACATGTGGCAGTCCAGCTGATCTGATCAGTGGTTTGCCTACAGAGCAGCTACTGACCATTCATTTAAAATCAGGAATGCACTGGGTTTGATAATCTTGAGGTCTTCTGGCATCTGAGTGATGTGCACTTGCTCTTACTTCCAGCTTTCCCAAGCTAAGTCTGGAAAAATCAATCCACATGTCCATGTGGAATATGAATGGAATCTTCGACAGGAGGAGATGGATGAAAGTGATGATGATCTGGATGACAAAGTAAGTGTAAATGATCTCCTTCCGTTTTTCTACAGCATGGGATAAAGGGGTGTGTGTGCGTGTGTGTGTGTGTGTGTGAGAGAGAGAGAGAGAGGTTGATTGATAGATTTTTTTTAAAAATCCCAGGATGTGCTGAGACCATTGCCATTGCTGGGTCTTTAACTCTTGTCGGTTACTCTAACAGCTGTGTTACCCAGGATTATGCAGAGAAACAGAACCCATAGGAGAGAAAGAGAAAGTTCATTTTAAGGAATTGGTTCACACAGTTGTGGAGGCTGGCTCAGAGTCCCAGGATTTGCTGTTGCAGTCTTGAGATGAAGGGTAGTCTGGCTCATCTTTGAAGGCCTCCATCTTTTCTCTGACACCCCTGAACTGACTGTATGAGGCCCACCCAACTTTGTGGAGGGTCGTCCTCTTTACTCAAAACCTAGTGATTACATAGTGATCACATCTGAAAAATACCTCACAGCATCATCTGAATTGGAGTTTGACCACGCTCTGGGGACCCTGTAGCCTAGCCAAGCTGACACATAAGATTGGCCTTCAAAATAACTTATTAGTGAAGAAGATCCTGTATTGACGGTCCAGATGTGGACCAGTTTGTGTTAAGCACTTAGGCTGTCTCAGCTCATCTTCACTGAAAGTGCCCAAGGGCATTGCTGCTGTTCCCATTTTATAGAAGACAGACTGACACACAAAGAGAGTTGCACAGCAGCCTGTCTGCAGTCTGATAGCCAGTAAAGGCAGCCCCATGGAGGTCCCCAGTTCCCTGGGACTCTTTGATGGGTAGCTCTTGACTTCCTTGGAAAGAGCTGGTGAGCAGATATAAATTGGCCATTTCCTCTATGCAGGAATGGTCAAAGAGGTTCTAAAGGCATTCACCACTTTTAAGAGACTGTATCAAGAAGGAAACACTGGAGGTGGGTTTCTTTTCCTGTCAAAGAAGCAGGGAAGGATGCATCATTCCAGGGAGCAGTAGCAGCATGTACCAATGCAAGGGGTGGTGATTGGCGGAGCCTGGAGGTCTGAGCAAAGGGAAGAGAAATGCCAGTGTGATATGCACTGGCCAGGGTGGGGGATGGGGGGGTGGTGGTAGACAGAGACTGCCCCGCAGAATTAAACATATCAGCTTAGGGAGGGCCTTGCAGGCCAGGCTGAACCTTTTGGCTTCTATCCAAGCTGTCAAAAGCCAGCAGAGGAACAAGTTTCCTGCCAGCTCTGGCTACAGTGTAAAAAATTGGGCACAAGTACTGCACTGGGAGCCGTGAGCACCTGCACTAGGGATGGGCTTGAGAGGCATCTGCAAGGAATCCGTGCAGGGCCCAGGGACTCAGCTGACCCTGTAGTTTCTAACTTGGGCAGTCGAATGAATGCCGATGCCATCACAACAACTGCTAACGCCAGTGACACCCCACGGGCTGTTCAGAATACCTTGGAATCCAAAAGCTTGGGGGTTGGATTTACAGATCTGTGAGGCGTCAACATGTAGGTGGCCATCACGCCTTGGGTGTGATGAGTTTAAGAGGATGTGAAATGAGAAGAGAGGTCAAGATTGAGAACTTAAACATTAAATGCTAAAGTGTCTGTGCTGGGAAAAATGCTTGTTAATTAGAGGTTAAATCTGACTGTGACCTTGCTCTGTGTTTCTGAATACGGCTGCCGATCCCTGACCGGTGTTTCACTAGCATAGTCGGTAGTGATGGCATGAGCTGTGGCAGTGTCAGATCTGGGTCCTTTGATTTGTATATCGTTGCTATGATGTGGGCTCGTCCTGTGGCCAACCACACATAGCACAGAGAGCCACAGAGTGCAGATTTCCACCCGAGCCCACCCTGCAGAGGTCATCAGTAAGCCTTAAGGCAGCCAGCCCTTGGTTGTTATCTCACCCGGTCTTATCTCGTCTGCCAGCCAAGCCCTGTCAAGAAAGAGCGCTCACCCAGGCCGCAGAGCTTCTGCCACTCCTCCAGCATCTCCCCACAAGACAAGCTGACGCTGTCGGGCTTCAGCACTCCCAGGGACAAGCAGCGGCTCTCCTACGGAGCCTTCACCAACCAGATCTTCGTGTCCACTAGCACAGATTCGCCCACGTCACCAACCACGGAGGCACCTCCTCTGCCTCCTAGAAACGCCGGGAAAGGTACGGGCTTTGAGGGCTCTATGCCTCCATCCTCAGTGCTGGTAGTTGGCCCAGCTTTGAGGTGAGAGCTGCAAAGTGTATTTGAGTGACAGAGTACAGAATGTATTGTCAGGAGCAACTTGAAATAGGGCCCTTGGCGTTGGCCCCACACCAGCAGCAGGACCAGGTGTATGTGGGCACCCTTCATGCAGCATCTTGTTTTGACCTCACAACTAGCCTGTGGGGTGTGAGCTTCTGTACCCATTTTGCAGAAGAGGAAACTAAGTCCAAAAAGGTAAAGTGGCTTGCCTGAAGTCACACAGCTAGTAAACGGTAGGGTTGAAAGTCAATCCAAGGTCTGTATGGCTCTAGAACCTGTATTTTGTATGATATGGGATGGAATTTCAGTGCTACTTTAAAAAGTTTTTCACTAACTAAAATACCTCTCTTCTGAGGAGGATTCTCGTAGTACCTACTAGTGGTACTTAATAGTTGTGAAGTACTTGCTTATGTGAGGCACTGCCCATTTAATGGTCGCAGAATGAGAGGGATACTGCACTCAGTGACATCACGCACGCAAAGGGACTATGGTTCAGAGAGGTGGAATAATTGGCCTAAAGTTCTCAGCTCCTGGGGATTCTAACCCAGGTTCTGTGTGAACAGGGCTCACGCTCCTGTACTCTGGTGAAGACTGATTTTCCACGAGACACTGCCTGGGGAGGAATCTTCGTGGGGGAGGGTCATTACTCTGCGTGTGCTTCCTGAGGCTAGCACCTCAGGCTGATGGGCCTGAACCCTGTGACACCTTTCTTGTCCCGTGGGCCCCGTCCACAGCTCACAAAGGCAGTGTGTTCCCACCTATATGTCCAGGCACATAAATGACGACGTTAAAGGGTCACACCGGCCAAGCAGATGATTGACAGGTAGCCAAAACTGTGGCCCTGCCCGGAATGGCCAGTGCAGGGTTCTCCCTGCCTTCCCGGTTCGTGCCATCCCAGGTTTCAGGCGCCTCGCACATACAATGCTGTGCCTATCCGACTCACACTGGGGCTGTTTTGTGAGAAATGTAAGCTTTATTCAGAGCAGTGTTTTATCAGAGCTGATTCCCCATTGAGATAGTGTTATCAATGGGAGCTATGTTCTTAGAGAGACCCCAGATGCCCCCGTAGATCACAAGTAACGGGGAAGAGTTAAAATTTGACTCTGGCGTGAACGGTTCTCTCCAAAGACAAAAAGTGGTGACAGCAGCAATGCGCACGTGAGCCGAAGGTTTTACCCACTGGCGTCTTCTTGCCATTGTGTCTGTGACGCTGGGATGTCCGTTCTGCAGTCGCTAGCATGTCAATCCGCACGGCTGTGGCTGGGGTGTAGGAGGACTGTGTGGCTGCTCCCCTCTGGGCCGTGAGAGTCCCGTTCAGGATAGCAGTCTGACAGGAGTGGAAATTGTGCTTTTGCACCCCCGAGAGCGCTGTGAGACCCCTCTGGACCAAATAAGAAACTCTGAAAGATTTCATAGCCCCTGATGGTGGTTGCCAACGTAGTGGTAGAGACCCACGTAGGCAGGCATGACCTGCACCTGTTGAGAACCTCCACTCCCACTGAGAAGCCTGACAGTGGTCTACAGGAGAAAATGACACCAGTGTCTGGAGACCAAGGGGCCCCCTCACCTCCCTTCACCCTCTGCTGTAATTTTATCTTGAGAGCTCACAGAAGCCCATAAAACACACTATCTGACTCCACGCCAAGTGTCTTTCTCCCGCCTTAAATAAATTCTGACGGGCTCTTTACCAAAGATCCAGGAGACAAAGACTAAATTTATTTAGTGACCCAGCTGCTGCAACAAGTGCTTAGAGACTTGGCCATAGCAACCGTGGTCAGCTAAGGATAGGCTCCTTAGCCCCCTCCCCTGACTCAAAAAAAAAAAAAATTTCTCCCTATGAACATGAGAGGGCTCTTCCTGGCTGTTGATAGCCGGACATCAGATTTGTGGAGTGGCCTATCTGCCGGTCAGGCGTAGGGAACACAGCTTCCCCAAGACTTTGCTAGGAGATTAGAAATGTGTGATCTAGCATAGCTCACATGGCCTTACCGTTGGAAACACTGGTTACGCTTAGAATGGAGCTCTTAGAAGACATTGTTAGAGGTCAGCTGATGGCTGTGTGCAGAGATAATTCTTCTCTGTTTTGTGGCCCCTACTCTGTTTTTTTTCCCCCATTTCATCCTGTTAACTGGTAGAATCATTTGCATGAAAACAAGGCGGTCTTGAATCTGCCCCCTGGACTGCTGCTCCTCCAAGGCAAGGAAAGCAGAGGTCTTTTATTAGCAGCAGGAGTCATTTCCACAACTGTGAATTTCAGGGTCTGAGGCATGGCGGCTTCCGGCCAGGCAGAGACAGACCCTCATGATAGAGTCCCCACAAATAAGAGCAATACACAGGGCAACAGTAGAATGGATTCTTCTGAACTCAGCCCAGGCGGGAATATTTTTAAGAAACTCCAGCTGCCTCATCAAAATTCAGAGTTTTGACCTAAATTACTACCAAGCAAAGCCCCCTTGTGCCTGAGTAGCACGCCAGTCAGTCTCAGAAGAACCCAGCAATTCAGAATCCCAAATTTACCATCCTTAAGTCTCTGCAGAAACATTTTGCTGCCTAACACCTCTTCAGTTGTGAGGTCCAGAGAGATCAAATCAAAGCTGTGATATTAATGTAAGTAGCAGGAGAGTCTGATTAGCGGCTCCCCCAGCTCCCTCTTTATGCTTATTAAGGCTAGAGGTTCTTCAGGCTGGCCAAGGTTAGTTTGTTTTTCATCTGTAAGTTAAAATAATGTTACAGAACTTGGATTTCTTGTTGTTGTTGTTGTTGTTAGAAAAATGCTGAAAGATTAATGCAGTCTGCAACGCATTGTGCAGATAGAGAAACTGAGCCCCAGAAAGGTTAAGGAGCTTCCTTCAGGTCACATAGAGACCGAAATTGGATGGAGATTAACATGGGCCTTCAGGCTTGTCAGACCTGCTGGTTTCTTCTTTTGCATTCTGAGGAAGATGGAAAGAACTTTTCTGTCTTGCCTGCCTTGTGGAACTGTCATCAGAACCCAACGAGCAGTAGGAGGGGACTTCAGAAATGTTGGGGAAAACTGAATGAGAGACGAGTTTGTTTTGGTGCAAAAAAATTCTGAAATCCATGCCCAGTTTTTTCGTCTTTTGCGTTATTCATGTACTACTATAAGAGACTTTTGTGAGTATTATTAGCCTGTGTGAGACTCTAGATGTTTCTAGGATGTGGAGCAAGGTGGTAGACCACACGATGCCACAGTACTCTTCGCACAAAACAGGTACTTGAAAGTATACAGTGTTTATGATTCGTTGGTTTATTTACCTGTTTTTAAATAATTTTAAGCTATAGAACTGTTTCTTTTCTTGCCTTGCCAAATGTTGTACCTTTCCAGTAGCAGTGACAAACATTTATACCTGACATAGAGTCAGTAGCTCACATGTAATGTTTGTGGAGATTAAATGAGAAATACATGAAAAGTTTAGCTTACACCTGGCACTTAGTACTCCATGGAGAGGACTACAGCTGACGTTGAAGGCACTACAACTCCTCAGCTTTGAAAAAAGAGTCCTTTGGGAGGTAAGGGCTAGAGTGAGGTGACCCAAGTCTGCTGAATTAACAAGAGCTGTAAATAGACCCAGCACTCAGTAGGCCCCGTTCTCAAACTAAGAATTTGTTAAGTAAATGAATGATAATTCCAATCTCAAGAAGCTTATTTAATGTACTTAAAAGAACTACCTTGGCAAGCCTTTGAAAATAGAAACAACTGACATGCTAATTACAGTTCATTCCCATCTATTCATAGTCAAGACCCTGGAGTCGACATACTGTAGCCCCTCTGAATAATGTGCATACATCTGTTAACCCTGCATTGTGCACAGTAAGACTTCCTTCCTCAGACAGGCTCTGACTTTGGTCTGGTAAACTAGTAGGTGATTCGCACAAAAGAAACGCAGTGGCTGGTGTTCTCAGAGCCTCAGTAGGACACTTGGGTGAAGACTCTGTGCCATGCAGATATCAAACTAGATGCTATCCTTGACATTAGTCTCAATGAAGAGACTAAATGCCCACATTAATCAGAGACTATGTCTGAAAGTAATAAGCTAAGATCAGTCTGTGGCAAGCCCAGCCACAGCTCCATAGTCAAGGGGAACTCCTGTGAACCTTCTCAAACTTCACTTTCTGTCCTTCTAAGAAGCCTTCTTCGACTTGTCCCACAAGAAACTGTGACTCCTTCCCCGTGTGCCAACACAGCTACAGCACTGTTGAGCTGCTAGGGTGCTGTTGGAGAGGTGTGGAGACAGGAGAGGTGCGGATTGCAGCCCTGAGGAGGGGGCCAGGGACAGAGCTCTGGAGGGCAGGGCCTGGGAATGAGATGTATTTGCTTCCCCAGCACAGAGGGAAGGGTGTTAGTTGTTGCCTCTAGAATGCTTAAGCAACAGAGAGCATCCAGGAGAGCATGTTCCAGAAGTAGGTGGCCCAGGTGGCGAGGGGGCGTTCATAAAACCACGCCAGGTGCCCAGGGAATATGACAGTGCCTGGACTCGCTAAAAACGTCTGCTGAATGCTTGCCGCAGTTGTACCCAAACACACGTTTTATACAGCTTTTCTCCAGCTTTCCTGGGCGGCCCGTCGGGTGGCTGGAAAGGGCCGATGGAAAGGGAGGACCTCCCCAGCACCGGGTGGTGCCTGCCACCTGGGGGCATGCACTAGCAGATGACTGAGTGTCACTTGGGAAGTGTTTTTCCTGTCCTCAGCAATACTCATGCGTTGGTGACTTTACAGTTTCCTGGGGTTTTTCTCAGCCATTTCAGTGACTCAGTGTAAAGCTTCGCACCAGCTATCAGCCTTGAATCATGCCGGATTTGCGTTTTGTTTCAGGAGCTTTTTGTTGTTGTTGTTGGATTTTAGCTTTTTTTTTTTTTAATCAGTTTCTCCCAATCTTTCTTCAGGCATGCGCACGCGTCAC